AGTTCTAACAATAATTAGCAGGAAGCTGCAAATATTTGCTGAATAGCTACTACTTAATTAAAAAATTACTAATTTTTAACTTATAATTTTTTATTAGTGATAATCAGTAAACAGATACTCAAAATTATTTGACAACTACTTGTAATGTTAGTTGACATCTGCTAATAATTAGCCTTTAGCTAATAATTAGCAGCTGTCAACTCATAATAATCACCTAGTAGCTCCTAATATTTATTTGACAGCTGTCAATAATTAGTTTATATTTAACAATTATTAGCGATTAATTTTAATTAATTATTTACTTTATTAATTACTCATTATTATTTATTATTATTAATTACTTATTATTACTTATTAATTACTTATTGAATTTATTAATTACCTATTTAATTTATTACTTACATGTTTAATTTATTAATTACCTATTTAATTTATTAATTATTTATTTTATTTATTAATTAATTATTTAACAACTAGAAGCAATTGGTTATTGATCATTTATTAGCTTCTGAAAATTAACTGACAGCTGCTAATAATAATTAGTAGTTAGTTCATGGTAATTAGTAAATAGTTAATAATAATAATTAGTAGTTAGTTTATGATAATTAGTAAATAGTTTATGATAATTAGTAAATAGTTGATGATAATCAGTAAATAGTTGATAATAATTAGTAGACAGTTGACGATAATTAGTAGCCAGCTGATAATAATTAGTAAATAGTTGATGATAATTAGCAAAATATATATGATAATTAGCAATTCTCAAATATGAATTAACTGATGACGACCAATAATTATTTAACAGTCGCTAAATAATTAAAAACTACTAATTGATTAAAATTTCTCCATTTATTAGTTAATTATTCAGACTATTTTAACTATTTAAGATCAGCTATCGCGAATAAAGTTTTTTTTATCCTCTACAAGAACTCAATTGATTAGGAGTGATCGATTTAAACCAACATAAAATTGGTTCTCTACATGGATTTATAACTATTTATAGAATTAAATCTGTATAAAGAATCATATCTAAATATAGAAATATATCTAAAAAGTAAAACTGTATTTGTCTATTATTGTACAAGTTGTCTCTCAGACTCTCAGTCAGTGAAAAGTGATTTCAAAGAATTACTTAATTTTGAACATGACTTTAAATTAAATATAATTGTTTTTTACTTTTTGTTTATTATTTGTTTATTATTTGTTTCTATTTTTTAACTTTGTGCTTACTTTATGATTCTTTAATTTATTTTATTAGTCTCTTTTACTCATTTTTATTATCAAAGTTAGCAATTTGAGAAATAGAAATTTTAATATACAAAACTTAAATCTGAAATTTGGGTCAATTGAGATGATTCTTGTATTGTGAACTTTCTCCAAATTGTCATTGAACTTTGTTCGTGGCTGCTGCGTCAGTTTTGGATTTAATTAGAAAAAAAAGATCAAGTTCGATATTTTGAAATCGATTAGAAAAAATTTATACAACACTAAAAAGATGGATTCAGGACACACGAATTAAATTTCTCGGTCCAGATCCACTTGAATTCCGAATCTCAATTTATCTGGATTTATTTGCAAGATATTTTGGATAAAAGCCAAAGTACGTGGTGTATTTTGAAGAAAGTGTATATGTTTGCTCTGAACATTCATCAGATGAACAAATTTGCATCTATGTTCCGTTTAGTTGTACACTATTAGCAGGTAAAATTTTTATCGCAAAATCATTGTTTTTTTTCTCTTCTCTTCGTTAAATAATAATTATTGAATTATTTTATCCATTATAAATTACTGATGTAATTTATAAATTAAATTAAAAATTAATTTTTAAATCGTCAAATTAAAGATAAAAAAATTTTGAATTATAATGATAAAAATACTAATTACTAACTATCAAACTATAAAATAGTAAATGTCAAACTTTAAATTACTAATTGTCAAATTTTTAATTGATAATTATCAAAAACAAAATGTAAATTAGCAATTATCAAACTTTGAATTAATTAATTAGCAAAATGTGCATTACTAGATACCTAACTTTGACTTTTATCAACAGTTAAATTACTAATTATCAAACATTGAATTATTAATTATCAAACTTTAAATTACTGATTATAAAAATGTGAATTAATATTATTCAAACTTTGAAATTAATCAACTTTAAAAATATTGTTATCAAACATAAAGAAAACGATTACTCCAAGTCTTCGACTCTTCATGTTTTATAAATAATTAAAAAGGATCGAGTGTTAAAATCATTATTTTATATTATAAGAATATTGTTACTGTAACTTCTACAAAATTATTTTTACATTTTTATGTAAAATTTTAACTGAAATTCATTTTCAAGGCAATTTTTATTAGAAAATTCTACACTCAAAAAAAAAACTAGTAGATTTGACTACTTTTTAACTACCCTGAGTGATTCAATAGGTCCTCAACTGAATTTAAAAATTTATATTTACTACCGAAAGTAGTAAAAAGAACTAAGAATTTAGTTGATGTAATTAGATTTTGTAGTTGTTTTTGCAATTTAACTACTTTTTTTAGTTATATAAACTATTATTCTTCAACTATATTCAAAGTAGTAAAATCAACTACACAAAAATTGTTAGTAAAACTAAAAAAGTAATTAATTTGACAACTTTCAACTCAACTAGGTAATAGTAGTTAAAGATTTCGACCGAATTTTTTTCAGTGTACGAGAATTCAATTATTTAAATACAAAAGTAAATTATTTATTGAATAAGTGAATGATTCTTAAAATTAAATTGTTATAAAGAATTTTATTAACAATTTTTTAAATAATTGAATTCTTTTGACGAATTTTAATAAAAATTTTTAGAATAGTTACATTTTTCAAGAAATTTGATTAAAATTGTATTAAAAAATAATTGAAATTCTACAACGCTCTAATACTTTTAATATTCAATTATTATTAAAAATTTTAAATAAAAATTTATTTTAAAATCAAGTTTTACTAGAAAATTCTATGAGAATTTAATTATTTAAATACAAAAATAAATAATTTATTGAACAATTGAATGTTTCTTAAAATTAAGAATTTTTATTATTTATGAAAATAATTGAATGTTTGCGTACAATTTTATTAAAATTTTTGAAAATAATTGAATTTTGAAGTAGAATATTTTAATTTATAAAGATAATAATTAGTATTTTGTTGAGATACTTTTGTAAATTTTAAAAATAATTGAATTTTGTGATAAGAATTTTATTACTTTTGAAAATAATTGAATTTCTGCAATCATTTGTAACTTCTTCAAAATTCCATTTTTTAAAGTGTTTTTAACTTAAATTCTTCTATAAATTTATTATTTTTAATAATTAATTAAATATGTATTGACAAATTTAACTAATTTTAGAAGATTTCCACTTATTAAATTTTTTCAAAAATCAAAGTTCATTAAAATTAAATTAATTAAATTAATTCATTAATTAAATTCATTAAAAATTGAAATTTTATAAAATCTTTAATTAAAACTGTTTGAAGTTAATTTATTCATGAAAATTGTAAAGGCATCTCTTTTAAAATTGAATTAATTTAGAAATATTTATGTAAAATTATTCATTAAATAATTTATTTATTTTATGATAGTTGTTCAAGATTTAATATTTATAAATTTCAAGATTTATAAAGAAATTTTTGTCAGAAATTGTAAAAAATTAAAGGTTTTGTATTAGAATTCGTGGTAACTTTCTAGTTTATGAGTCAAACAAAAACGACACAATAATTCCGAATTTTCTTTATGAATTCTAAAAATTAAATTTTTTTTTTAGTACTTTTAATACAAATTCTCGACTTTTCCCTGAATTCCCCATGTCAGAATATATGATTATTATAATTATAATAATATTAAAATTATATATTCCAATTCGTATTTTATTTTTATAAAAAAAATTTGAATTGAACAATTTTACGTTCTATTATTTTTAAAATTGTTAATTTTATTTAAAAAAAGTTAGAGAGAAGTCAGTTGCTAGTTATTCTATTATTTATTAATTATTAATTTATTAATTAATAAAAATTAGTTTAATTAAAATATCAACTATTTATTTTAAATTTAAACGATATTTACCTAATAAAATAATTATTTGAAAATAATTCAATAATTATTTATTCGAAATGAAATTGAAACTTAATTGTTTAGAAATTCTTGGAATCGTTACGATTTGTTTTGCATCTTTTCGATCTTTCCTCGTTCTCTGACTGACTGAATGATCATTGATCAGCAGGAAAACACGAATGAAATTCTTATCATGATGTGATGATTTTCTATGATCATCTTCAATTATACAATGAATTAATTCTCTAGAACTTATGTATCGAGTGTGATTGTTAACTATTCATTGAATCAGGCCATCTAATAATACTCCTGTGATTCAAGGGAATTGTCAATGTGTAGATCTTTTTGCACACCGAAGAACTGACGATTGGGTTGTCAGCGAGCCTTGATATAACAGACTAGACAATGTGCAATTTAATTATATCTTTTTAACCTTCGTCAACATGAATACGTACCTTGATAAGCTGTCAAACCTAAAAATTGATTCACCTTTTATTAATAACAAAAAAAGAGAAAAAAAAATATTCTTCAATTTTGATTCGATCAAATCGAAAATTTAGAAAAATTTACTAGCTGGGGAAAAAATTAGCAGACTAATTTTTTGGAGGAAGAGGCTTATGTTCTAGGAAACAAACAGGAATATTTTCTCTAGTTTGAAAACTAGAAAAACTTTTAACTTTGATGAAAAATCTAAATGATTTTTGTATTTTATTTTTGTATTTTATTTTTGAATTTGATGAAAAATGGATTGAGTAATGTTAAATTGAATGTTAGACTAATGATAAATAATGAAATCTAGAAAAGCTTTTTTCTTTTCTTGAAAAAGAAAGATTTAGAGGATCAAGGGCAATGAAACGTTTGCCAAAAGGTTATTGCCAATCTATTGATAAACTAATTAATCATCATCGTGATTGACAGGCGTAGGGGTGAAAGAGGAGGGATTCGAAATTTTCCAAGTGCCTATCAACGAGATGCAGGCCTCAAGCAGTAGCGAGAAGCACTTTACGACAGAGAGAACCTCTGGCGAGGGTGGCTCTGAAAGTCAAACAATGACAAAAATGTCCTCCACCTTCACGGAATCTTCATCGAGTCATAGTTCCTCGAAAAATGAATACATTTCATCAACCTGTTCATCGACATTGGGCTCAACTGGTCATCAACCTTCCAATTATTGTGTAAAACAAACATCACAATGCTCCGAACATTCTTCATCACAAAATGGTGCTCCTCCAGTTGTCCAGGTACAACACCCAACAAATTTTAGTGTTCAAACCATGGAATTATGATAAACCCTCAAAAAAAGGGTTGTTTCAGTGCAGAAATTTCGAAATATAATTTATTTTCCATTTTCAATGTTATAAAAAACGGTTTTTTAGTGCAATAATGAACTTCTTTTGATTTAACAGTGTCACAAGATTCAGGAATATGAGAAGATATTTCAAGACAAACCTGGTGAAGTTAAACAGGACAGGACAGTGATTATCACAGAGGATACGGAAATAACGAAACATGTGTGTAAACCCTGTAGAAAGCAGACGGCACCTCGGTTCGTATCGCCAGTCACGGGAATGATTGTTGATCAAGCTACTGATGTTGTTCTCGAAGGAATTGTGGATGGTAGGATTTTATTTTTAAAGAATTTTTTTTTTGTATTACAGGTTTGCCACAGAAAATTTAATTTTGTTTCCCTGACTTTTCCCTGATTTCCAGACAAAATTTCCCCTTTATCCTGATCCTAAAGAATATTTTGATTCACTCTAAAAATGATGAGCTACTCAAAAAAATTTTCCATTACCTCCACTTACGAATTTCTCTAATTGTAAAATTATTGGAAAACATCAAAAACTTCTTTTTTTAAATAAATATTTAATCACGATTATTTTCTAATAGAAATTAAAATATTCAAAAATTTTAAATTCAAACCTTTTTTAAATTAAACTTATAAAAGTATTGCTATAAAATATGAAAAAATTGATTGCTCCGAGTCAAAGACTCGGAGTGATCGATTTCTTCATATTTTATAATAATTAAAGAGGACCCAGAGATAAAATCATTATTTTATCATTATATTATAAGAATATTGTTACCATAACTTCATTAAAATTATTTTCATCATTTCAATTCAATTATTATTTTCTAGAATTTTTAACTAAAATTCTTCTTTAAATCAAATATTTTTAATAATTTTTGAAAAAGTTCGTTCAGAATTTTCAAATTCATTTTTACGAAATTTATATTATTTGAAAATTCTTCACTTAAATGTATGTTAGCAAATAAAAACTTGAAATAATTTCTAAAAAAAAAATTCATTTAAACTTTTTCAAAAAAATTAATTATACAGAACTGTTAGTTAAATGTATTAAAATTTCAGATTTTTAACGATCTCAATTTGAAACCTTTTCAAAATTCAATTATTTCAAAAAATTCAAGCTATAATGCTTTAAATATTTAAATTATTATTTAAAATTTAAACTGAAATTTATTTTTAAATCAATTTTTATTAGCAAATTCTACGAGAATTCAATTATTTAAATATAAAAATAAATAATTTGATGAACTTTAATATTTATGAAAATAATTGAATTTCTGTAAAAAATTGTATTAGTTATAAAAATCATGGAATTATTGCGAAGAAATTTATAAAAAATTTGTTAATAATTAAATTCCTGTGGAATTTTTATTAATTATGAAAATAATTAAATGTTTACGTAGAATTTTATCAAAAAATTTGTTTAAATAATTGAATTCTATTGGAAAATTTTATTAAAATAGATATTAAAAATCATTGAATTGAGGAAAATTTTTGAAAATAATTGACATTTTGACGAGAATTTTAAAAAAATTTTGCAAGTACATAATTTAATTTTTGCGAAGTATTTATAAAAAAATTTGAAAATAATTGAATTTCTTTGAAGGATTTCATCAAAAGTTTTGAAAATAATGGAATTCTTTCAAGCAATTTTATAAAAAATTGTATTAAAAATTCCTGAATTCTCGCAAAGAATTTCATTAATAATGATAATCATTGAATTCTTCCAAAGAGATATGATTAAAATTTTTTAAAATAATTTAATTCTTAGCAAAAATTTTATTAAAATTTTTTAAAATAATGGAGAATTTTTTTAAAACTTTTATTAAAAATTTTAAAAGTAATTGAATCCTATAAATAATTTTATTTAACTTTTTTAAATAATCTTGTTTATTGATTTATAATTAATATTTTATTTAATAAAATTTTATTTTATTTAATTTATAATTTTATTGTAAAAATTTATTAAAATTATTGATACAAAATTAGATTCTTTTGAACAATTTTACTAGAGTTTTCGTAAATAACCAATTTTTTTTTAATTTCATTAAATTTCTTAAAAATAATGTAGTTTTTTATAATAATTTCATTTCAAAATTTTGAAAATAATTGAAATTTACGAAACATTTTATCAAAATCTTTGAGAATAATTGAATTTTTTATAAATTTTATTACATTTTTTAAAAGTATAATTGAATTCGTTTCAGAAATTTTATTATAATTGTATTGGAAATAATTGAATTCCAGAGAAGAATTTTACAATTTATACAAATAATTGAATTGCTTCGAAGAATTCTATTATTAGTTTAGGAAGTAACTGAATTGTTTCGAAAAATTTTGTTAAAAATTTTGTTAAATAATTGAATCCTTTTGTGAATTTTTATTAAAATTTTCTTGAAATTAATAATGGAATTCCTGAGCAAAAATTTTAATATTTTGAATTATTAGTAAAATTATTTATTAAATAATTTCTATATTAATAATTTTATGATAGTTTTTTTAAGAATTAAGTTATTTAAAAAAAAATTATTGTCAAAAATGGAAAAAATTAAAGGTTTTGTACTAGAAATCGTGGTCATTTCATAGTTTATGAGGCAAACGAAAAAGACCCAAAAATTCATAATTTTCTTATGAATTCTAAAAATTTAATTTTTTCCAGTACTTTTAATAAAAATTCCTGAATTTCCTGACCTGTGACAACCCTGTATTAATTATTTTGTTTAATAGGATTTCCACAACCGACCGTCACTTGGGCGAAGAATAATCAGGAGTTGAGGACCAAGGATGGTGTCAAGATGACCTATCAGCAAAATCACGCTCGACTGGAGTTGAAGAACGTGAACGTTAAAGATGCAGGACGCTATACGTGCACCGCCGTCAATAGTGTGGGAAATGCCAGCAGCACCGCAGATCTAGTCGTTAAAAGTAAGATTCGAATTTTTGTTCAAATTCATCATCCAATTTTTTTATGAACTAATTTCCATCAGTTCATTAAATGATTAAAAAAAATTGATTTTTTATTATTAAACTCTTTTCAGAAACCATCTTTCCACCTGTTTTCGGACGACGTCTTCAGGCGCAGGTAGTGAAACACGGCGATCGAGTGATAATGGAAGTGGAAATTACAGGAACTCCTGAACCAACAGTGAGATGGTACAAAGATGATGTTCCGTTACGTGAAAGACCGCCGGAAATTAGAATGAAAACGCAAGGGAATTGTTATTTGTTACTGATCGATAAAGGTAAATTCCAGTTCCTCAACTTTTTCAAAAATTAAATTTACAATTAGGTAAAACTAGAAAAATAAAATTGATGATTTTAGCGGACAAATCTCATGCTGGAAAGTACATGGTCCACGCAACGAATTGCGGAGGAGAGGCTCAAAGTATCGCCGACTTTGCCGTCTTCGAACCAACACCCGACACAATGGTTGAAGTTCACAAAACTCTCGTCTATGAGAACATGCAGGACAAGGATATTCTCAAGGTAATTCAAAACTCGATATAAAAAAAATTCATTACAAAAATAGAATCAAAAAGATATGATCATTTGGGTCATTTATCATTTCATCATTTATTACTTTTTTATTATTCATCATTTATTATTAGCTCTTGATTCTATTTTTGCTTCTAATGAATTTCTATTTCCACTGGGTAGAAATTGTTTAGAATCTAAACAGAAACGGGAAGTATTGCAAAATTGAATATTGAATGTCGCAATACTGGTAAATTTAGTAACAATTTTAATGATTACATAGCCGGATGAGAAGAAGGCAAAAATACCATCGGGGAATATGACAACTCAGCATATAACAACAACGATGATTCAACCGAGTGCGGCATTGAAGACTCCCATTCCTCCCACTTCATCCTGCTCGTCCATTCGAACGATTCAATCAGAAACTGATACTAAAGCATCACGTTCTGAAACCATATTATCCACAATTGAATCACATCGCAGTGAAACTAAATCTGAACAAAAATTCCACATGAAACTCGAACACAAAGCGGCACCATTGTTTCCAACTGAAACCGGTGATTTGGAATACGCAAAACCGTCCAAAGACAAGAAGACAACGATCGAAACTCAAAGGGAGGAAATGACATCCGATGGGAAAAAAATAGAGAGGGAAGTGAAAACTTATGGTGAGGAGGAGACTTTGAACGAAAATGTTGAAACGTCAACAGTAGCGAAGAAAGATGCTCTCAACTTTTTTGAAGCAATGTCTAAGGGTAGCGACAATATTCCCAAAGGTCCGAAAGATATGATCAAACTGACAGAAACAGAAGTTGGCAAAGGTCCAGGTTCTGACGTTCAAGTTGGAAAGTTGACCAAAAATTACGAGCGCACTACAAAGTTTGAGGAAGCTGTAAAGGAACCACCAAAACCCGATTTCAAACAATCAAAGAAAGCGGTTCAGGATATCTTCTCGAAATTCGAGTCCGGATCCTCTTCCCGCGGTATTGCGAACAATCTGATCGAATTCCCCTACGAAGGTTACAAACTACCACCACTCGAAATCAAGAGAACCATTCTCGAAGACGTCACCGCTTCCGGTTCTCCAATCCACGGCACCCTCACCATCTCCAAACTAGAAGCACAATCCGAAAGTGCCGAAGCTATGCTCAAGGGTTTCAATCTAGTCCCCGAACCTCCACCCGAAATTGGCTACGCACCCGCCGAGGGAGCGAAAAAAAAACTTCCTGACGTCTCCATCAAGGCAAAACAACTCCAAGAGTCATTTGACAAAAGCCTATCTCCAATCGACGCTCCAATTGGTGGCGTAAAAATGTTCCCCTCTTCCAAACCCGAACAGAGGACCTTCACTCGTCCGGCAACGACACCCGAGAAACTGTCAATTCCACCGCCCTTCGATCTGAACAAGAAGGAAGTAATCGAGGAAACTTGCATCAAGAAAGACGTTCATGAGCACAAGACGTCGGGTTCGTCCGAATATTCGTGCTCCATGACTTCCATGCGACGATCAACATCGCCTAGACCCTCAACAGAAGCCATAAAAATGGAAAAATCCTGGGCTCACAAATCTGAAAACCGTCCACCGCCCAGGGAGACAACTCGAACCGTTACCGATCACCAAGAATGGAAAGAACCTGCTGACGATTTCAAACTATCCACCAAGGAAAGCACCAAGGAGGTCGAAGTTACTCCAGCCGGTCGGTGCGCTACCACCAGCATCGAGTCCACAACCTCCCTAGAGAAGCAATCGTGGTCCTCCCAAGAGAACCGCCTCATGGAGAAGAAAATCGAAACCCCAAAACCCGAACCCATCATCTACAAAGCCGAGACAACGAAGGTCGATCACACCATCAGTACCGTTCAAGAAAAATCCGTTATCGAAAAATACTCCTCCGAATGCGACGTCCACAAAACCCACACCACCGAAAAGATCCTAGAGTCCATCGAGCGTTCCACGAAACCCTGTCCCGCCTCCTCAGACCTCAAGGCCCCGTCCCTAGTCAAGAACATCGAATCCAAAAAACCCACCGTACAACTCTACCACCAGGACTCAATTCTAAAACCAGGCCCCCCACCCGAAATTGGCTACATTCCGGGTCCAATGACCCGCGAGAAGAAGATCGAAAAAATCGAAAAGACACTAGAAATGTCCCTCGAGCACCAACCGGCGAAAATCCCCCCCGGAGGCGTTAGAATCACTCCCCCCTTCCGAAAAACTCCACCACCGATACCAAATAAACAACCATCCCCAGCGAAAACTTGCTGCACTCCCACAAAGTTCATCAAAACTTCCTTCTACAGCGAAAGCGAGTACGAATCCGACCTCGACGGTACCCTCCGATCCAAATGGCGACCCTACGAAAGCGACAGTGAAGAACCCCGGTACCGACGAGTCACAGCCCCGATTCCCAAACAACCCCGACCGAAATCAACCGAACCCGAACCGCTACCACCATCACGGTTCGAAATCCCCTCGGCGGACCTGACCTCCCCTTCTAGACCCGCAATCAGTGACTATCAAGAAAAGTCCACCAAGCGAACGATGACCAGACAGGAACGGGACTTCAAACAACAACAGCAGAAATTCGGTCAAACTACAACTCAACCAGCGACTCTACCAAAACCTGGATCACCGCCAATTTATGTTCATCCAACGAGCACTCCTATTCGTTCGGCGATGAAACTGACAAAACCGGAGTCACCAAAGTTCAAAACGAAAATGTTTCAGCAAGAGAGTGGCTACATGGCTGATACGGATGAGCCATTCCAGTATTTGCAGCAGCAGCAAAAAATCACGAGTACTACTGGTCCGGGACTGAAGGGTTTCACGAAACATGAAGAATCGTCGATGACATCTGAATCGCGTTCATGCTTCTCTGAATCGCGTTCGAGTTTCATGGAGAGTAAAAATTATTTGAGTTCACAAAATATGGATTCGACGAAAACTTGTCCTTTCTCACAAAACCTTCCTACAAATCAAGTTCAGCGATCGTCTTATATTGAAAAATCTAGTGCATCGTCCACAATGCCTACAAAGGTTCGAGATAGTAATGAATCATTAGCTTTGAAGTTTTTGTGTTCATTTTTTACAGGAATGATTTTCGTTTTGTGTTCAGATTTTTCTGCATTTACAAAAGAAAGTCAGCATGGTTTTTTTGCAAACTTGTGTTGATCAAGATTTAAACCAATTTCTTTTTCGGCATGATTGTATCAGCTTTACTGAATGCTGATTATTGATCATTGCTACTGATGATTGATTTAATATTACTGATCACTGATTATTGCTACTGATAATTAATTCAGTATCACTGATCACTGTTCATTGCTGCTGATGATTGCTGATATTTAATTTAATTTTACTGATCACTGATGATTGCTACAAATAATTTAGATTTATAAATCGATAACCATTGCTAAAGATAACAATAATTTATTCAATTAATTAATGCTGATCACTCATTTAGCTGTTTCCTACTAAAAATTAATTGCTTGTTCCCAATTATTGAATAAAATCACATTCACTGATTATCAGTTTAATTGATTGTTTATGAGAATAATATAAATAATTGATTGATCAGTGCTACTGATGATTAATTAAATTTCACTAATTATTGATCATTGCTACTTATAGTTACTTAATTTTTTCTGATTATTAGTCATTGCTGCAAATGATTGAATTAGTTTTAGTGATCACTAATCATTGATGCCTGTAATTTATTTAGTTTTATTATTGATTATTGATCATTGCTACTGACAATTGATTTAGTTTTATAGATCATTGATCATTGCTAATGATCAATTAACAATAATTTCTTCAATTAACTGATATTAATCACTGATTCAGCTGATTGCTGCTATTAATTAATTGCTTGTTACAAATTAGTGAAACCCTAGATATTAAATTAATTTGCTAGTGATCAATTAATCAAATGGCAGTTGGTACTTACTGATTAAAATGATGGCTGATGATTACTGATACAAATACTACCATTCAGAGTGTTTTGAAGATTCTTGTTTATTGATTGAAATGATTCTTACCTGAAAACAGATAAAACGTATTTATTAAAAAATTGATTAACCTTTTTAATTATTTTATATAATAATTTTTTAAACAATTTATCATTATTTAATTGAATTTAAATAACTTGAATTAATAGTTGTGTCAATCAACTATTTCGAAGGTCATCTATTAACCACTATTGTTCACTGAAATAATGATAACTGATTTCATGCAATCTTGAATTAATTGATCAGTGATTTAACTGATTAAACATTCAGAGATTAACATAATTTTTTTGTTTCAGGACACATTTCATTCCGTCAGTCACAGTGAGCAGTGGAAGTCTCAACCGTCTCCAAGTCCTTCCAAATTCGTTAGAGGCGAATTTCGCGAGAGTGACTATGAGAGTGATTTCGACAGTCGAAAATCATCACTGTGGAAATCACAAGGTTCTGCCACAATTGATCGCACTCACAAATCAGTAAAGTCAAATTTGACCAGCACAGGTGTGTTACCCTAAGAAATTCATCAATTATCATCGCACGCAACATCATCGATTTTTTTTTACTTTCGCAATTTCTTTTCCAGCTTACAATTAATTCTTCTGGCAAAAAGGTTTTCCTCGCACCACGTTGATTTCCTTTATTTCGTTCACCTACTTTCTCTTCGCTTCTTTGCTTTATTCTATCGCTTCTTCTCTTCTAGCCAATAATTATTATCTTTATTATCTTTGTTATGTTTATTGTCTTTACTATCTTTGCTATCTTTATTGTCTTTATTATCTTTGTTATTTTTATTATCTTTATTATCTATATTATATTTATTATCTTTGTTATCTTTATTATCTTTGTTTTCTTCTTTATTATCTTCTTTTCTACTTTCTTGTGCAAACTATTCAGTCTACTTTTTTATTCTAAAACTTTTACTCTTTGCCTTTTTATTTCAATGAATGTGCTTCAAAAAAAAAAATCGCACGAGAAAAAAATCTCGAGATCATTGGAAAAAAATATTTTCTAACCAGGCAAACCACGACCAGCATCCTGGGCAGAACCAACATTGCCGAGTCCGACTCCACCTGTGATAATCGAATCAACAAAAGAGAACATAAAAAAGGACGAAAAGTCCAAAGTGAAAACGGTTCTTCTTCCTGGTTCACCACCTGAGCTCGCTTACGCTCCACCAACCGAATCGCGACAAACATTCTACGAGGGTAGAACTGGTGCTCCATTCCATAATGCCGTTGGTACCGAACTGAAGAAAACCGTAAGAATGGATGAATCCACTGAGAACACCAGGAGAATTCTCACAGTCGAACAAACTAGTCGTGTCATCAAATTCGGCGACACTCAAACAAACAAAACCTACGAATCGTCCACGAATCAACAGCACAGTAATAAGAATTCCTTCAATGTTCCGGTACCAAGGAAATTCGTTCAAGGCCAGTTTCGTGAGTCGGACTACGAGAGTGATATCGACGCTGGTAAAATAAGACCGAAATGGACGCCAGCCGACAGTGACACTGAAGAGCCCAGATATCGAAAAGTCCAACCGCCCCGAGCCAGCCGACCAAGATCAATTGGTCCCATTCAATCGTCAACGCCGATCATCACCTGGCCAAGTGAATCGGAGAACGAGCGCTCCGAGAGTGAAATGAGATCGTCAATGATGAGCAGTCAAAGGTTGAACGAGCTTAAACCAGGATCGCCACCGGAATTTGGCTACTCGTCCGGTCAGGAGCTGAGGCAAACCGCAAATCGTAAGAGCGTTGTCGAGATAATTTCTTTAATATTTTTTTCTATCGCTTCAGTAATTGTCGCGTCACGACGACGCACAATGCAGCAAAATTTCTATCCAATTAGAAAGACCTTCTCGTCTATTTTCTATGTTACCTTTATTATCCTCTTAATCCTTATGATTACAATTTACCTGTGTAGTCGATAACACACAGATATTGTTTTTCGTACCACTTGAATCTGTCCACTCCGCAGACGTAGCGTCGAAGCACATGAGCGACATGACCAGCAGTTTCAAGACGAAAACGGAGAAGTTCGTTCATGACATCCAATCCGATCTGAAGAAACGAAGCAAACCTATTTTGAAGCATCCTGCTGATGGCGCTGTCACCGATGGGGATGATGATCCACGCACCTATAGGGAGGAGAAGAGACTCTCGCAATATGGTAACCAGACTAAATAGTTGGTTTTGATTTTTTTTTTTTTGAGGGAATCTTTTCTATCTGGATCACTATAATGATTGTGAGTCCGATCTCAACGGTCGGAAGTTTATTGATAGTTATCTGTACCTGATTTCTTATGCAAATTTTTTTAATTTTATCTTCCACGATCTTTGTTGAACAAACTACAATTTTTCAAAAAGATCGAGAAACTTATCGAATCTGTTACCAGATTATTTGGAATCTTTTAGTCAGCTGTTCACAAGCTTTTACATGAATTATTACGAACTGATCAGAAGATCAGAAAATGTTTATCAAATGATCAAGAACTGTTTACCAAATGATCATGAACCGTTCTCTAGATCATCATGAACCGTTCACCAGATAATCATCAACCGTTCACCAGATGATCTTCAACCGTTTTAGGCAAATGTTTAAAAATTGTTAATTAAATGATTAGGAACCGTTCACCAAATGATCAGGAACCGTTTACCAAATAATATTGAATTTTCTAGCTACCGACTAGAAACTTTTTAGACAAATGATTACGAACCCTTTATCAAATGATTAGGAACCGTTCACTAAATGATCAAAATTCGTTCACCAAGTGATCTGGAATTTTCTAGCTATCGACTACGAACCTTTAATCTAATTGTTCAAGAACTGTTTTCCAAATGATCAGGAACCGTTCAGCAAATAATCATGAACCGTTTATTAAATAACCAAAAACCGTTCACCAGACGATCAGGAACTAAATAATGAGTAACTTTCTAGCTACCGACTAGGAATTTTTAGTGCAACCGATCTAGAATCTTTGTTCACATGACCAAAAACTGTTTATCAAATGATCAGAAATCGTTTATCAAATGATCTGTAATATTTTAGCTACTAGGAACTTTTGAACAACTAGTAAACTTTCAGGCAAATGATCATAAACCGTTTACAAAAAGATAATTAACTGTTTACAAAATATGATCATGAACCGTTTACAAAATGAACCGTTTAGAAGATGATCATCAACCGTTGAAAATGATCATCAATCGTTTACAATATATTCTCGAACCGTTTACGAAAAGATCTGGAACTTTTTAGCTATCGACTAAAAATTCTCTAGGCAAACGATCAGAAATACTTGATCATGATCAATAACACCCTTTTTTTGTCAAAAAATTCATCAGCAATAGAGTAAAGAATTTTTTTTCCAAAAGAAATCGCGATTTTGCAAAAGAAATCTTTTGGAATGAATCATGAACTATCAGTTATTTTGTAAGATTCTCACTGTCAGGCAATCAGCTTAATTTACGATCAAATCACCAGAATCTATTGTATCATGATCAACAATCTTCATAAAGCATTCAGTTATTATGTGATAAATCCTAACTTTTCTCGTCAGTAAATCAGAAATAATTTATTTAACAATCATCAAAATTTCAGTTCCAGACTTTCATTCATTTATCAATTCAATTGAATCTGATGAATTCAGGCGGAGCTATCCCATCATGATCATTAATCTTCATAAATCATTTGGTAATCGTGTGATCAATGCTAAATTTTCTCATCAGAAAATTCGAAATCATTTATTCAACAATCAAACTTTTAATTCCAGAATCGATCACGTCCTATATTAATAAATTTTTTTATTCATCATTCGATTCATTATTCTTCCAACTAATCAACTTTTCGAATTTAATGACCATTACATGTTTTGCAATACTTTTTCAGGAAGTAAACATTTCTGTTTGGAATCATTGCTGGAAAATTTCCGAGGGTGTGATTTTGTAATTTGATTTTGACTTTCGATTCGGTTTTGACTTTGACTTTCACTTTCACTTTCAAAGTCACAGGCAAAATCAGAGTGAAAATGAAAGTCAATATCGAAGTCAAAATCAAATCGAAAGTCAAGGTCAAATCCCAAAATCGCTCCCCTGGATTGATTCCGAAAATTTCCCCAAAAACTTTCGTATTTCTTCCGGAAATCCTTCCACATGGGTTGATTAAGAAATCAGATCATGTTTAACTATCAGCAATCTTTTCTATCAAATAATAACAATAATAATAGTCACCAATCAACAATCATTATTTTCAATTAGCATACTTTCCCTATCAATCATGAAACTAAAAAATAATTGCCAAGTTTTTTTTTTAGTCATTCAGCAATAGTGTTTAAACAATCAACAAAAGCATTATCTAAAAATAATTTATTCGTTTTGAAAATGAAAAAAAAATTTGTCAATTCCTTTTTTTTCTGCAAAATTTTCTATTGAATCATCCGGTTCAGGAACAAAACATATCGACCCGGACACTGGATTGATATACTTCAAATATGATTTTGGATACGAATTTGGAATTGTGATACCTGGCGAGGGTAAGAAAACTGTCTCGAGCCAAAGTAAAAGTGTCCAAGGTCAACGTCGTGCCAGTGACATTGATGTACCAATTGTTCACGAATTCACCACAAGAAAGGAGAATGGTTTCGCAAAATCAACTCCTTCATCCACATGGAATAATAATAATAATAATAATCACGGACGTCAAGGGAATTTTAAACAAGATCGATTTGCACCAACAAAAACAGTGAAATGGGAACCAACATCTGAGAGTGAATTTTCAGAGGCTGAGGATATGAGATGTAGTAAAAAACGCGGTGGTGGTAATCTTGCACCACCGAGTATCTTTATTCCAGCGTCACCATCGCCAAGATGGGATCCAAGAACGCCGAGTCCCATTTCATTGAGTCCGAGTCTACCGAGTTTGAGTCCACGACACAGCAGCGCGTGTACTGGACCACCAAGTAACGTGGATTCTGCAGGTATATTGCATTCAAATTAAATGGATTCTGTGCCTGATCCTGAGCTGCAAGATCAATAATTATTGTTGCCTTTTGAGCTTCTTCAACCTTGAGCTTTTGCGCAATCCTTTATTGTTACCCTTTATCGTCCGAATTACTGATCAGGATCCAAGTGATCAGTTGTAATTTACTCCTGGCACGCTCGTCTCCCTTTTTCAGTGATCAGCAATCATCGTGATCGTCAATCAACAAGGGATCTTTTTTTTGCCGATTGCATGATCCTGTCCTTGCGTTTCACGATTATTTTTGGGGATTTTCAGATTAGAGGGACCTTTGTGATTAATGCTGATTCTTTTTGGGAATTTTTATTGCCTCAGGGTTTTATGTTTCAAGATTTATTGTCACAGGGTTTTATTGTTTCAGGATTTTATTTTTTTAGAGTCTTATTGTTTCTAAGTTATTTAGTAATCGCTGAAAATTCTTTAGGGATTTTATTGAACTTCTTCTAGAGTATTTACGGAACATTGCACAATCTCTAGGGATCTTTGCTGATGAAAATAGATTCTTGGAAAAATCCTTGTGTATCCTTGAATGATTTACTATTAATCTTCATGGAACTTTGTGGACCTCTGTGGATCTTCATGAATCTTTCTGGATCTTTAATGAATTTTTATAGATTTTTGTGGATCTTTATAGATCTTTGTGGATTAAATGAATCTTTTAAGGATCTTTAAGAATCTTTAAGAATCTTTAAAGATTTTGTAAATGTTCTATGGATTTTTCTGAATCTTTAGCAATTTTTTGTGGAACTCTAATGATCTTTGTGCATTTTTTATGAATCTTTATCGACTCTTATGGATCTCTGTGGATCTTCATGAATCATTCTGGATCTTTAATGAATTTTTATGGATTTTTGTGGATCTTTATATCTTCGTGCATTTTTTATGGATTTTTATGGATCTTTGTGAATCTTTTGTGGACCTTTATGGATCATTATAGATTCTTATGAATTTTTTTATAGATTCTTTTTTTTATAGATTTTTATAAATTCTTGTGGATTTTTTATGAATCCTTATGAATTCTTATGGATTTTTGACAATCTTTTATGGAACATTATTGCTTCTTACGAACTTTTGTGAATCTTTTTTTAATTCTATGGATCTTTTATGAATCATTGTTATCTTTATGGATTTCTTTGGATCTTTTATGATTCTTTATGGATTTTTTAAATCTTTTATGCATCTTTATGAATCTTTTATGGATCATTATGAATCTTTGTGTATCTTTATGAACTTTTATAGATCTTTTGTGGATTTTTATAAATTTTTACTTGATCATTGCAAATCTATTCAAAAATTGAATATACAGAATTATGCAGGATCTTTGAAGAATATTTTCAAATCTTTGCAGAATCTATTTTTCAGCTTCTTCCATAGTGTTTATGGACCATTCAAGAATATTCCATTATTGTCCCAGACGTTTAAGAATCATTGCAGAATATCTACAAATCTTTTATAGATCTTTATTGATCTTTATTTATCTTTGCAGATCTATTAAAAAATCATAGAAAGATCTTTTTAAATCTCTTCAAAGTCTTTTTGATTTTTGAAGGTATTAAAGATTTTAAATATAATTGCGGAATTTTGAATGCTTTTCGCATCGATCTCTGTGGATCTTTACAAATAAACTTTAACTCCCTTGAACTTCTATTTGTTCAAAAAAATTTTCCAAAATCGATTTCTGTCACTTATCCAAAAATGAAAGTAATTATCAGCATTTATTGTTTCGCTCCTTGTAATTAATTTATGCAAGTAATTGAATTGCGATTGAATATTCAAATGTTTGTGACAGTTAACAAGCAAAAAAATAAAATAAAATAAAAAATATTAAATTTTCAATATATCTTCATCATTCATTTTGCAAATCATTTTATCAATTTTGCAATTTTTTTTTGTGAATAAACTATCAAAAATCAATTCTAATAGTGTGGGAATTTTTCAGGATCTCCCTGGCCCTGTACAAATGGAATTTCAGGTAGTAAGGAAGTGATACAACCTTATCTCGAACCACAACCAAAGAAAGCTCCTCTTTTTATCACGGTAATTATTTTATTTTCAAAATAAATCTAAACTAATTATGTTATTATTTTATTGAATATACTATCATTTTATTCACTATTTTATTATTTAGTTAACTATTTTATTATCTTATTAATTATTTTTTTATTTCATTAACTATTTTATTATTATTTTAACTATTTTATCATTAAAAATTTTTATGAAATAACGATAAAAAATGTATGTTTTAATTAGAAGAAGAAAATTTTATTTTAATTAAAAATTAATTAATAAATCAAAAAACAAAGATAAAAAATAAAAGTTGTCAAAATATTTTTTGTTCCAGCCTTTAAGGGATATTGCTGTTGTTAGTGGACAATCCGCACGTTTTGAGTGCATTGTACAAGCAGAGCCACAACCAAATATTTTATGGTCGAAAAATGGTAGAATTGTGGAAAATTCCGCGAAATATGAAATTTACTATAGAAATGGAGTTTGTCGACTTACATTAGCCCGCGCATTACCAGGTCAGTGAAAATTTTGAGATGAAATTACATTACTTCAATATTATTTTCCAAAGAACAATTATTTTTTTGAGGTAAATTTTTATTGCATTTTTTATTGAAAGAAATCAAAGGAAGTAAAAAAATAAAATAAGTGCTCTAAATTATTTAAATGAAATAAAGTAAAAAAGAATTAGAAAGAAATAAAAAACAATTTTTTTCTATTTAGTTTCTTTTCATTTAATTTTTTTATTTTCAATAAAAAAAATTCGTCTTATTTACAATTTAAAATTTTTTCTTCATTTACAACGAAAGAAATAATTTTTCAATTCAAAAAAAGAATAAATAAACAGTGAGAAAAAATTGTTTTTCTATTAAAATGAAAAAAATGATTTTTATATTAAAACAAAAAAATAAAAAACAGTAATTTTTGCTAATTGTTACAAATACTTTTCTCTAAAAATGGTAAAATTTTTAGATGACGCTGGTTCGTACATGTGCACGGCAACAAATAATCTCGGCTCAGCAGGAACTTCATCAACATTGCAGGTGCCAGGTAATAGACGTTCGGTGTATGGCATTAATTATTAATCAACAAGAAAAATAAAAAGGTGGAGGTGCATCGTAAACAAAAAAAAATGGTGGCGGTAGATCTGTGATCTCGCTCAAAGGAGTTAATTTCTAAATCAATTTCTTATCAAATTATCATTATTACTTTTTTTTATGTAAACATACTGCTTGGGGCGAATTCGCAGAGATCATTTTGCTATAAATGTAGCTATATAGAGTATTTCCCTCGCAGTGTCGACAATAAGACCCTTACAATTTCATTTTTCTGCATTTTTTTTTCTTTTTCGTTAACAATTTTTTCATCGCAAGGGCTAAGGAGAACTTAAATAGTCTCTTTTCTTTCAATTTTTTGTTCGTTCTTTTTGTTGTTGTGTAGGAAGCTTTACGAATGCATTTTTTTTTCTAAAAAAAAGGGATCGTGCTTCTGCTATATACCTCTCTTGCACTCCTCGTTTCACTTTCAAACTCCTTTTTTGAAACTAGCAAAGAAAATTCTCCTCATGTTCATTTTTTTAAAATATCATTTTTTAAAAATAATAATCTTTGTTATTAATTTTTTCCACACGACACGTTATTCATAACTACACACATTTTTGTAATTATTCCAATGTTTAGTAAATCAAGCCCACTGTCGATGATAGATTAAAGAAGAAAGTTGAAATCAGAGATAGAAGAAGCGAAAAAAAATTCTTCAATTGCTGTTGAATTCTAGTCATTGTAAAAAATCCTCCACTTAACCAAACCCAAAGAAAAATTTCACTTGGTTTCTAAAATAAGAAACTAGATTTTTTTAAGAAGAAATTTTATTCAATTTTTTTTTTGTATTTAAAAAAAAGACTTAATCGAAAATTATTGTTAGTGATTTTTGTAATTAGTTAGTAAAGCGATCCGAGGAGTTGGAGTTTCTACATATAAATATATATACATATACATATTTAAAAAAAGATCCAAAGAATCCCTTTTTATTTGACTTTTGGAGCTTGAGGATGAGAGACTTTTTATTGATGCCAAATAATAATAATAAAAAAAAAATATTGTCTATTTACTCTTTATATAGTTAAACGTATGAACGAGAAATGTTAATTTAAGCCAGATTGTTATTATCTCGACTTTTAATTGTTTTATCACTGATTACTGTTATAATTACAATGATCAACGTTATCAGTAATGCTGTGTAAATAAACGTGTGCTTCCTCTATGATACAGAGTTTATGATTTATCAATTTTTTTTTTCTCTCTTTCTTTCACCTTTTTCTACAAATTTTATTTCTTTACAAATTCTCTATCCACACTATTTATATTTCTTCATATAGAGGCCTTTTTATTTGTAAGTATTTGTAATAAGTATTTTCGGTATTTTTCAAAAAAATTCGTTTATAAACAGCGACCAAATAAAAATACCGATTTAGTTATTGATTTTTTTTAACAAAAAAAAAAAAAAACGTTTCCATTGGGGTACGTGCTTTACTAATCAATGCTAAAGTAGAAAACTAATTTTAATGTTTATTAATTATTTGGTGGATTGCATGAATTTTGGAAAATTTTTATTATTTATTACATACACATTTTTAATTACATTTTTCATTTATTCTTGGAATTATTTTTGTTTACTTTCATTTCACCGATTTAATCCAATTGGTTTTTAATAAATTAATTAATGAAACTCTTGGTTAATTGTCTAATTGATTTAAAAAGAAATTACTCAGTTGAAAAGAATTAATAAATTATTCCATAAATAAATTGCCTAATTAATTAGTTAATAAATAAATTACTTAAATAATAAAAAATTCACTTCACAAATTAATTAAGTAGTAAAGTAATTAATAAGTTACTTAATAAATAACTCAGTGAGTAAATTGACTAATTATTTCATTGAATAATAATGTAAATAATTAATTAATTTGTTACTTACTTAATTAATTAATTACTCAATAAATAAGTAACGTAATGAATTAATTGCTCTATAAATAAATTGTTTAATAAAGTAATTACGTAATAAAAAATCACTTAAATAATTTGAAAGTTATATAATTAATAATTTATTATTAATTAATTAAGTAGTTAAGTAATCAATATGTTACTTAATTAATTAATTACTGAAATAATTTATGTTACTTAATTAATTAAGTAGTGACGGAATTAAGAAGTTAATTAATTATTTACTTAATAAATAAATTGCTGAAGTAATTAATTACTCAAGAAATAAATTACCTAATTTATTATTGCCACAATTACATAAATAATTAATTGATGCATTTGTTACTAATTATTATTTATCACAATTAACTAAAATTTCTTAGAATTAATTAATAATTTATTAATTCTTTTACAATTTGTTTAATACATAAAATAGAGTTAAATTTTTCTTTCATTTGACATTAATAAATTTTTTGATAAATTAATCTATTAATAATTGATTTTTACTGATACTCATTTTAAAAATTAAAAAAACAAAAAAAAATAAAATAACCAATAGTATTTAAATAGAATAATATTGTTAACGTGAAATTGTTGACTTGGCAGTCTAAAGATAAATAAAATAATCATGAATTTGAGAATGCAATTGCCGATGAAATTTTTGGCAATGATTTTTGTACCTATTCGCGTAAAATGAGGCACAAAATCGTTTTGGTAAATAATGGATAATTTATGAGCGTGAAAAACAACGATTTGATTGTTAAAATTTTTCATAGGTTCTAAATTGCCAAAGAGAAATCTTATAATGTTAATGAGACCAAGTTAGATTACTGTTTAACCTTGGCTGAACCGACAATTTAGTTCAAAGTTGTATATACGTATATTTTCTTTATAGTTGAGAACTTGTCGAGAGTTACGTGTGTATATATATGTATATTATGTTACATTACGATTTCTTGGCTCAAGTAAAAAGAAAAAAAAATCTTGAATGGAAAATTAACTTCTTTAAGCCCTGTTATGTCAAGGGCAATGAGTAATATTGTCTAATCATTTTGGCAAACTTTAAAGTTTCAAAAGTATTTTCGTTAAATGATTCAGAAATATTTTTTGATGAATTTTCAAATTTTTGGATTTATTTCTAAAGGAGACTAATTTAGTTTTAAATGGCAATTTTATTGTTAAAGGAGAATAAAAATGAAATAGTTAATTAAATAATTAAAATACTTTAAAATACTATATAATTAATACACTAAATAGTAATTTAAATACCAAATAGTAATTGAAATACTAAATAGTAATTTAAGTACCAAATAATAATTGAAATACGAAATAGTAATTAAAATACTAAATAGTAATTTAAATACCAGACAGTAATTAAAACGCTAAAAAGTAATTTACTTTCAGAATCATTTACAATTTTCGTTCTAAATAGTAATTTAATTTTTGTCAGAAAAAAAATTGGCCACAGATAATTATTTGCTTCTTAAATAATAATTTACGAAAATAATAAAAAAAAGGGAAGAAAAAAAGTATCAGTATTACGAAAACATTAATGAGTCAGCGAATTTTTAATTTATTGCATCGATGAAATTTTAATTTTTCGATGATCCTGCACGATAAACTGAATTTCTATATAAAAATTTTAATAAATAATAGCAAACAAATTGCAGAGACAAATTTTCTTGAAAATCATTTAAGTCAATTAGTCTCAGAGATGACCCAAATTTTCCGCAATTGCCCAAGAATAAAATCCTTAAGATTTATCCAGAAAATTATCTCCACCTTGGCAAAAAGTCAATTTTAAATATTAAACACCCAAGAATTATTAAAAAAAAATTTAAAATCATAAGCAAAAATTAACAAATTTATATTAAATATAAACAAATTAATAAAAAGTAAAATAAAACAAACTCGGTAATTACAAAATTAATTTAACAAGTTACATAAATGAACGAAAAAATAAAAAAAATAATAATCTTTTAATTAAAAGTATATTAATTAAATTAAAATGAGTATTAAAAGTAAATTTGACTGAATTTCAATTAAAGAAAATTAATTTCATAAATTAAAATAAATTAAATAAATAAACAAAGAAAAGTGATCATAAATAATTTACAGGAATATATTTGCCTCCGCTGCAAATTAATGAGCATTCCTCAAGATATGTTACATTAAAGGATCTCTTTCTATCACCGAAACAACAAATAAATTTTCCATCATTCAATCAGGATGAAATTCCAGAATTGAAAGATCTCAGTCTTTGGAATCGTAAGATAAGGTAAATTGAGAGTTAATGCTTTTTTTTCTTATTCCCCTTCTTTTCTATATATTTTATGCAAAATGCAAAAAAACAAAAGTTCAATGCTCTGGATACAATGCTTTCTAGTTGCGGCAATTCGTTCTACGAGGATGGCTCTCAAAATGAATTTTATTTGATGACACGCGAAAATAAAGTAGCAAAAAAATTGGATTATTCAGACATGGATACAACAAGCAATCACTATGCAAATATTTCTAAAGCGAATAACATTCATTTGCAAATTGCTGATTACGAGAAAACTGATCAAATTGTTCATCCTGATGACGGTAAGTTAATTAAATTTTTTATTTAAACAAAAAATATATGCATACAATATAAATAAATATACCTATAAAAAAATTTTTTTTTAATGATTTATTCACGTCTTTTATCACAGGAAATATTTTTCATAAAATATTTCTAACGAATCAGTTTTTTTATTATTCTAACGAATTAGTTGTATTATTAATTTCAACTAAATATTAATAAAATTTTAATTTAATTTAAAATAGATTTCATTACTCGGTTGTATTAATAATTTAGAAAACGTTAATTTAATTTAATTTTATTTAAAATTTTAATTAAATTTAATAAAAATTATATAAAAATTAATTTTCATTAAAATTTTCGTTAAATTCAATAATAATTATTTAAAAATTAATTTTTATTACAATTTTAATTAAATTAAATAAAAATTATTTAAAAACTAAGTTTCATTACAATTTTATTGTAATATTTATTAATTATTCGAGAGAAAAAAATTTGATGTGACATGTGATACTTTTCATTCTATTGAACAAATTTTTCTTTGTGGGAAGAAAATTTCAATAAACAAAGAAATATTTGTTAAGAAAGAGATTTGTTTCGAAAAAAGAATTTATATCAAAGAGAATGTTAAAGAAAAGAAATATAGATTAAAGAATAGATGCTAATCAAAGAAAGAATCTAGATTAAAGAAGAAATCTGGAGCTGATAAATAAATCTTTATCAAGTCATTTAAATCAATATAGAAATTTGTATATGAGAAGAAATCTGTATCAATAAAGAAGTTTTATTAAGGAAGAGAAATACAGATTTAAGAATAGATCTAAATAAAAAAGTGATCAAGATCTCTTCTTTAATCTAGATCCCAAGATATCTCCATCAAAAGAAATCTAGATCAAAAGAAAAATCCTTATCAATGAAATGATCTAGATAAAAAAGAGTGATTTAGATAAAAAGGAGTGATCTAGATCAAAAAAAGATTAATCTAGATAAAAAAGAGTGATCTAGATAAAAAAGAGTGATCTAGATTAAAAAAAGTGCACAAAAACGAAATTTAAATAAAAAAAATTTAAATCTATTATTCCAGTTGGATCAAAGAAAAAATCGAAACTAAAGAAAAATTTCCTTCTAGATTCAAGAGTACAGAGTAAAATTTTCCAAACTTATTCTAAATAAACCAAAGTAAAAAAAAAAATGTCATTTTTTCTCGGAAAAAATTAAAGTATTAAGAAAAGAAAAAAAAACACTTCTAATTGCAAAAGAAACTGTTGCAGTCGACAATTTAACGTGAAACTCAACAACAAAAATAGATTCGTACACTCGAGACATTCCAGGTGGGGGTCTCACTACTCTTTCTTGCTCACGGGATAAATTTTTGCGCACACATATTTTCTTATGTATATATCTTGCGTATTTCTAATATATAACACACGCAGGGATGTTGAATCATAGACGTTGAACTCTTCTTGCTGAGAGCGAGAGAATTTTGAAGATCCCCTCGAACCCGAAAATAGCAGGCGTCGCTATGCGCCCACCTTGGCAAAGGATATGATTCACTCGACCTACCTTTCAATGATTTTCTTCTTTTTTTTGGCCAAGAAAATTAATTTCCTCGAAAAAAATTAATTTTTGGAAATTATGTCTCAGAGAAAAGAAAAAAAAGGATTTAATTTGTCTCGTGTTTATAATTAAAAGAGAAGTCATGATTTTTTGCTGCTCGATTGCGACATTTGATTTCTCTCTGTCTCTCTCTCTCTCTCTCTCTTTCTCTCTTATGATTTCTTGTTTGTAATGCGAAACCAAGCATTGTACAGCAAATATACGACCGGCTCTGAATATTACACACACGCATTGCTGGATTTGTCCTACTGCCACCTCCTGCATCGTCTTGCTCCGATTCGTCTTAATTCTCACATATCCCCCAACAATCCCTCCAATTTCATCGTCGAGTAAAATAATTACAATGATAATTAACTACACGACTAGTGCTTCACAATTACACAATTTTACAATTATTCCCATTCTAGTTGTTTTCTCTTCTTTTTTTCATTATTATCACAGTTTTTCTGATGATATCAGAAATTGAAAAAAAAGAATCCAAAAGTTGCATCGCAACAATTTTGATTCGTTTTTTGTATCAAATTGTAATATCCTCAAAAAGATTGTGAATATACGTAGCTTATAATGATAAAGTCATTCTTAATCATCTTTTTGAAATTCTAGCTGGTCAAATTCTTCAACTTTAACTAAATAACTAAATTTAAACTTAATACTACATAATAACTGCTACCAAGTACTAAACAAATATAGGACAAATACAAATTCCATTCGAAATAAAAATCGAGGATTTTCCAAACGAAAATTAATTCATTTGCTATCCATGCTTTGGAAAAAGTTACTTTTTAAAAGGCCAGAAGCCTGACAAATCCATAGACGTCGCAACTGAATAATTCGAAATGATCAATGCTTCATTCTTTCATTTTCGCAATAATTTCTTTCACTATAGAGTTGAATACAAATATTCTACGAACACTAGCCAACAACAAAATCAATTGTCAATGAACAATTGATTTTGTTGTTGCCTATTGTATATTACAAGTTAATTTACATGAATTTCCTTTAGTAAAATAATTTTGGCAAAATTACTAGTCAAAATACTCCATTCGCCAATTAGCAGACAATCGAATTTTCGAGTTTTGAGGAGCTAAGAGCTTTAAAAAATTCAATTGTTTATAAACAATTAATTTTGTTGTTGCTTATTGTTCCTTAGACGTTTATTTACAAGAATTTACTTTTATAAACTGATTTTGGCAAAATTAATAGTCAAAATACTCCATCCGCCAATTAGCAGACAATCGAATTTTCGAGTTTTGAGGAGCTAAGAGGTTTAAAAAATTAAATTGTTTATAAACAATTAATTTTGTTGTTGCCTTTTGTTGCTTAGATGTTTATTTGCAAGAATTTTATTTAGTAAAATAATTTTGGCAAAATTACTAGTCAAAATACTCCATCCGCCAATTAGCAGACAATCGAATTTTCGAGTTTTGAGGAGCTAAGAGCTTTAAAAAATCCAATTGTTTATAAACAATTAATTTTGTTGTTGCCTATTGTTCCTTAGATGTTTATTTGCAAGAATTTCATTTAGAAAAATAATTTTGGCAAAATTACTAGTCAAAATACTCCATCCGCCAATTAGCAGACAATCGAATTTTCGAGTTTTGAGGAGCTAAGAGCTTTAAAAAATTCAATTGTTTATAAACAATTAATTTTGTTGTTGCCTATTGTTCCTTAGATGTATATTTACAAGAATTTACGTTTATAAAATCATTTTGGCAAAAATAATAGTCAAAATACTCCATCCGCCAATTAGCAGACAATCGAATTTTCGAGTTTTGAGAAGCTAAGAGCTTTAAAAAATTCAATTGTTTATAAACAATAATTTTGTTGTTGCCTATTGTTCCTTAGATGTATATTTACAAGAATTTACGTTTATAAAATGATTTTGACAAAATTACTAGTCAAAATATTCCATCCGCCAATTAGCAGACAATCGAATTTTCGAGTTTTGAGGAGCTAAGAGCTTTAGAAAATTCAAATGTTTATAAACAATTAATTTTGTTGTTGCCTATTGTTCCTTAGATGTTTATTTAGAAGAATTTTAATTAGTAAAATAATTTTGGCAAAAATAATAGTCAAAATACTCCATCCGCCAATTAGCAGACAATCGAATTTTCGAGTTTTGAAGAGCTAAGAGCTTTAAAAAATCCAATTGTTTATAAACAATTAATTTTGTTGTTGCCTATTGTTCCTTAGATGTTTATTTGCAAGAATTCACTTTAATAAAATGATTTTGGCAAAAATAATAGTCAAAATACTCCATCCGCCAATTAGCAGACAATCGAATTTTCGAGTTTTGAGGAGCTAAGAGCTTTAGAAAATTCAAATGTTTATAAACAATTAATTTTGTTGTTGCCTATTGTTCCTTAGATGTTTATTTAGAAGAATTTTAATTAGTAAAATAATTTTGGCAAAAATAATAGTCAAAATACTCCATCCGCCAGTTAGCAGACAATCGAATTTTCGAGTTTTGAGGAGCTAAGAGCTTTAAAAAATTCAATTGTTTATAAACAATTCATTTTGTTGTTGCCTATTGTTCCATAGATGTTTATTTGCAAGAATTTACTTTTATAAAATGATTTTGACAAAATTACTAGTCAAAATAATCCATCCGCCAATTAGCAGACAATCGAATTTTCGAGTTTTGAGGAGCTAAGAGCTTTAAAAAATTCAATTGTTTATAAACAATTAATTTTGTTTTTGCCTATTGTTCCTTAGATGTTTATTTGCAAGAATTTCATTTAGAAAAATAATTTTGGCAAAATTACTAGTCAAAATACTCCATCCGCCAATTAGCAGACAATCGAATTTTCGAGTTTTAAGGAGCTAAGAGCTTTAAAAAATTCAATTGTTTATAAACAATTAATTTTGTTGTTGCCTATTGTTCCTTAGATGTTTATTTGCAAGAATTCACTTTAATAAAATGATTTTGGCAAAAATAATAGTCAAAATACTCCATCCGCCAATTAGCAGACAATCGAATTTTCGAGTTTTGAGGAGCTAAGAGCTTTAAAAAATTCAATTGTTTATAAACAATTAATTTTGTTGTTGCCTATTGTTCCTTAGATGTTTATTTGCAAGAATTTCATTTAGAAAAATAATTTTGGCAAAATTACTAATCAAAATACTCCATCCGCCAATTAGCAGACAATCGAATTTTCGAGTTTTGAGGAGCTAAGAGCTTTAAAAAATTCAATTGTTTATAAACAATTAATTTTGTTGTTGCCTATTGTTCGTTAGATGCTTATTTACAAGAATTCACTTTAATAAAATAATTTTGGCAAAAATAATAGTCAAAATACTCCATCCGCCAATTAGCAGACAATCGAATTTTCGAGTTTTGAGGAGCTAAGAGCTTTAAAAAATTCAATTGTTTATAAACAATTAATTTTGTTGTTGCCTATTG